ACTCTTTCCTGCTTATGCAGGGGGTCGGACTCGATGATCTATTGAGGTCCCTTCCGACCCTAACATCTATGAATCTATGATGAACAGTGATGCAGTTGTTTTTTGTAGGCCTGAGCACTGCCGGCTATCGGTACCAGATAGAGCAAAAGTTAAAGGGCATTAAGAAATGTATTACCTAAAATTACAGTGAAATATCTTTTGTTTAAACTTCAAGCAGGGGGAGGGAGGCATCTAATCTCGGCTAATTTACTGTTTGTTTTTCTTTTCACTAGATAAACGTGTTGATAATTGGCCCTTGATGCAGTCCCCAATTCCGACACTGATTATAAGCACTCTATACCTCCTCACTGTCTGGCTGGGCCCCAAATGGATGAAGACAAGAGAACCCTTCCAGTTGCGCAACATGCTGGTTTTCTACAATTTTGGAATGGTTCTACTTAACTTCTATATTTTCAAAGAGGTTGGTCTTCTGACTTTCTACTTTATACTAGGAGGGCATTGCTGTTCAATTTTTAGTTTTGGATACATTTTGTCACATGAATATTCTCTTTGCAGATTTGTTAGGTATGTTAGAGCTCTGCCACTGAAATGGCTATCTTTATACTCAGATCTCATGAGCTTGTGAACAGACACATTATATGAGCATAAACGCAGAAGCCATATGTATTAACTTGACAATTAACTAATAGGGCTTTAGTCCTGATGTTAAAAATTCTAATTTGGGTAGAAAGTATGTCTGTCCCTGGCTCATATTCTTCTGATAAGTTATGCTCTTGTGAAGCATACAGCAGCTCAAGTGAATTAAGTGTACTTGTTCTAGATCAGGGGCAGGCAAAATGCGGCCTGTGGGCCAGATGCAACCTGCCAGGCCATTCTATCCAGCCCGCGGGGCCCTTAAAAAATTTAGAAAATTAATCTTTATCTGCCCATGGCTGCCTGTCATGCAGCCCTCGATGGTTTGCCAAAACTCAGTAAATGGCCCTCCTCCCAAAATAATTGCCTGCCCCTGTTCTGGGTTTATACCAGAGTAACATTTAAATTTGTCCTTTATAAGATACTGGAGAATATAAAAGCCTACAATACTGAAGAATAACTATTTTTATTAATATATTATGTAAAAATACTAATGTAGAAATGAGAATTCAAACTTGGCAAAAATAACAAAGGTTTTTATTTTGTAAAGTTAATATTTAGGTTGAAATCATAAACAAATGAACCTTATTATTTATGTAAAGGGACCAGGCAATATATTCAAATAATATTCACAGGGTTCTAGTGAAAATCATGAGATGTCATAAACATGTTTCTCTGGGAACAAAGTTACTTAGTTGCTTTACTTTTTCCCTTCCTTCTGATTTGTCCAGACAGGGAAACTGGCCAACATCTCTAATGTGGAAAAGGCTATTCAGTAGTAGCTATACCAGTATAGCTCCTCATGTGGATTTTCTGTTTTGGAAAGAAATATTGTCTATATGAGGATGTATTCCAGTACAATTATTGCAGAATACCATTTATAGCTGTAATCCTGTGGAGAAAATCTCAGTAAGATCAAGTTCAGTAACGTAAACCAAGAATTAATTTGCATACAACTTCAAGTGTGAGGATTCAAGTGAATATTCCAATTTATCAGATATCCACCTGTAGTGTACGTAACCCATACTGGTCGAGCAAACTCTTTGCCCACTTAAAATTTGTGACAGTCTTTGTTTACTTGCTGAAAATCTTCCTTTAGATTAACCCCTTGATGAAAGAATTTAGGTTTTGTTAGCACAAGAGCTGTTCATAGAAATCTGGCATTAAGCAAACAAGCCAGGCAGTTGAAATTAACAGCATATGGAAACTGAACTCATGAAGATCTATTTTTATGTTTTTTGTCCTGTAAGTGGTATTGTTTCTGATGATCATTTTCTGTTTATTGCCCTTGTACAGGGCTTGTGTTTCTGCATTTTTTTTGTCTTGACACAATTCGCTTAAAAACTGACATGATGTTTTCATTAAAATAAAGTCTATTCTTGATACCTCAGGCGTTATCCTCCTATTAAATTGTTTTTAATGGGCTAAATTCTTTTCTGATTTGCAATCCCACTGAGAACAGCGGTATTATAGGAGTATAAGTCAGGGGTTGTCAACCGGGGGTACTTGGAAGGGTTCCAAAGTGTATGCGAGGGTGGCATGGAGAAGCGGCGGTTCTTGGAAAGCATATGGGGCAGGGCCGCTGCCATCCATCGCTCCACGTTGCACCATGCACCACTTCCCCACACCCAAGTAGCCCTGCTTCTCCATGCTGCCAGCTTTGCATCTGGCAGCCAGGGCGGGGAGCAACAGATTTGTTGGTGTGGCGGGTGCCAGCGCTGGGCAATGACCCCAGGCACAGGGGAAGGGAGGAGCTCAGCCGGCCCTGACCCAATCCTGGGCCTGGCTTGGCTCCCTCCCTATCCCTGCCACGTCCCAGCCCTCTCCCCTCCCATAGCCAGCTGGGTGGGGGGCCAGGGGTACTGACATCAGCACCACCCCCTGCTGCCTGGCTGGAGGAGACTACAGTCCAGAAGGGGTACCTACAGAAGGGGTACACTCCTTAAAAAAAAAAAAAAAAAGGTTGAAAACCCCTGGTATAAGTTATTGCAGAATTTGCGGAGTCTGTCATAAAATTGCTGTCCCATAATTGCAACAAACAAACAGTAGTACTAGCATTAAACTTTGTTTATTCAGCAAGAGCTGGCAAGTGTTGCAAGTGTTCAGGTCCTCCCTGAAGATTTATGGCACAACACAAATTGGGGAGGTGTTATGGGCTGAAATAAAAATGTTAAGTGCTGTTCTATTTGCAGGCAAAATACACATTTGCCTGCAAAATATTCATTGCAGGCAAGTGGCAACGTCCAGTAGAAACACAAATGTATAATTTCAGCTTTCAAATCTATTATAAGCATAATTCCAGTTTGCTCATGCATATTACTGCTTCCTATCTTGTGAATGTTGCATTACTGAAGAACACTAGTGTTCAAATTGTAGACCATAATTTCAATACCTTCTTTCATCCTCTCCTGTTTTTTAATATACTGTTTCAAAGTACTTCTTATGTTGCTGCTGTGCCATAATGGGATCCCTAAAGCTATTTGACTGTCACTGAGGCCTAGAGGCTGACTCAGTGCACAAACTCCAGCTACTGCTACCATGAGACGTCTCTGGTGTGTTTACCTTCTGAAACAATTTACATTACCCATAATTGTGAATGCTGAAGTCCAGTAACTTTTTAAAGTTTAACACCAAAATCTCTGTAAAATGAATTGTTTTAGTTTTTGCAACATGTTTGTAGAAATCTGCCTCCGAGCTGTATTTTCTTACTGATTTATGTACACAACTAGAGAGGTAACATGCTCAGGTATTTCTGGAGGTCTGATACTATTTGATATCCACCTGTGTCCAAAATTCAGTTGTTCTAGCTTAGTAGGTACATTGGCCTAATCGTAGAAAATAATCAGATGAGTGATGAAAATGATTCTACTTCTAGGAATTCCAAATAGCCCTAGAAAAGTTGAATTACACCCTTCCTTACCTGGGAAGAAACTTCTGATCTTCTCTGGAGGTCATGTATACCCACACTTTGCCATTGTGGTTCACAACCTAGAGACCATACCTGTCCCATTACTTTCCTTTGATTCCCATATAGGGTTAGAAGAAGAGTACATGATATATCTTTTACAGTTAACCAGGAGTCTGTGAACTGTCCCTTATGATGAGACTTTGTTGTAGGATTCAAGCCGGTCTCCTCCAGACCAAATGATTGCAATGTGCTTTATTTGGGATGACCCTGCAAGAGTCTGTGGAAGTTTCTCCTTGCAAAAAAAAAAAGTGGTGATATACATCTCCAGTCATGATGGTCTATGGATGCGTTATATTGGTGCTATTTTCGGTTATCTTGGGTTTTGGGGTGGGTTGTGGGGTTTGTTTGGTTTTTTTTGGGGGGGAAGGGGTGCAGTTCTGAGTATCAGTTACAGTCCTGTAGTTCTACTTGGTCTAGGTCCCAGCTGTCTTTACACAGGAACTTCTTTTTCTATACCCAGTCATGAGGTTGCTCTTTGCAATTTCACCAAAACTGATGTGAAGCATTTTTTGTCTCTGGAACTTCTTCCCTCTGGTGTTAGGACCTGTGTTTGAAAGGCTTTAGGAATTCTGTTGTGACCTATTCCATTTAGGTCTCTAAATATCTCAGTGTATTTCCCTCACAACAAAGCATTTTGTTTGATTTATAGTCTAGGCAGTAGGCACTAAGTATTGTGTTGTATTGTTCTACAATATAGTCAGTGTTTAGTCTTTGTATCACAAATACATTAAAAATTCTTTTAGGACTAAACTTAAAATAACCAAATTGATAATTACTCTTACTAGTAAATAATTCTTTCCTTGTCGAATATTTCCCCTTACATCTTAATTTAATATTTTCAGCTATTCCTGGCATCAAGAGCTCGAGGATACAGCTATATCTGCCAGACTGTGGATTATTCAGATAATGTTTACGAAGTCAGGGTGAGTACATAAAAAATCTGCTCCCCTTGACCTGAGAGTCTAAAAACAGTGTTTCAGAAATTAATAGTATTGTACTAGTCATGTTTCTATTCTTTTATGCTGTTTTGCAACCCTTTTGAGTGTCTACACCACCATCAATGGTGGAGGTAATTGCAGAATTTGTAAACGTACAATCAGAGAAAATAAGGCTGGAAGGGACCTCAAGATGACCATCCAGCCCAGGGATGGTCAAAATGGTGGATCCAGCTGGTGGCCAGGCTCCATTTCTCAGCAGCCCCTGTCTGTGCATGGGCAGGGCATGCAGCTGGGCAGGGAGCTGCTCCATGGCCAGGATCTTGAGGCAGTATTGCATGGGACTGCAGCAGAGCTATGATCCACTCCCTGTACACCCCTGCCCGCAGCACCCACAGGCATGTGGGCAGTGGATTGAGCATGGCCCTGGCCCCCCACCCAAGATCCTGGGGTAGAACAGACTGTGCCAAGGGCATCATGTCCCCAAAAACTCATGTTTCACAGGACAAAAATGTGTTCTGCACTGGATTCCCCCACTCTAATCCCCAGGGGCCCATGTCCATGTGAAGGGCAAAAGAGAAAAGGATGTTAAAGCAGCAGCAGGCCCTCTCTGCTCTGCTGCAGTTTGGCTCCATTTAAGTCCTGGGCAACATTGGAAATTCGCCCCAGTTCTAGACATTCTGGGAATCCCCCAGGCAGCAATGCCGTGGAGTTTGTCTGCCTGGAACCTGGGGAAGGTGCAAAGTCCTGGCTTTCCTTCTCTGCACGAGGGGTTTTCAGAGATGAAGCTGTGTTAGTGATTAGCTGGTTTCCAGTCCAGCCCTGACCACCCATCTCACTCCTGGCCCCAGCCCCACCCCAGCTGCGCACCCTGCCCATGTGGGTTCCACCCCCAGTGGTGGGTGTGAGGTGGACAGGCTGGGGTGGCCAGGTAGTGGGGCTGGGTCTGGCAGCGGCAGCCAGAAGAAGGTGCCACCACAGGCACTGCTGGGAGATGGTCTGCTGCCGGCCTGACCCAGTTCGCAGGCCAGACTTTGTCCACCCCAATCTAGTCCAACCCCCTCTTCAGGATAGGATCATGCTTGTCTAACCAAGTGTTTGTCTAATCTGCTCTTAAAAACTTCCAAGGATGGAAATTCCACAACCTCTCTAGATCATCTGTTCCCATGCTTAACCAACCTTACAGTTATAAATTTCTTCCTAATATTCAAATTAAATTTTCCATGCAGTTTGTTGGTTACTTTTTTGTCAGTCCCATGCAGTCACAGTTCTTCTCACTCTTCTCTTTTTCAAATGAAATTATCTCAGTTTCTCCGGTATACCTGAACTACCTCTGATCTAGATAACGTGTTTAACCAGAACACTGAGCACATGTTCATAATTGGCTTCTGTGCTTGTTTTGTAGGCTAACCACAGTCCCTTGGCATGTGCTCAGGTTGCTAGTCTGTACTGAATTCCATGCCAGTGCCTCTTCCCTGTACTTGTGCCAGCTAGAAGTAAAAATAGAGCAGTTTTGCCTACATATGATGCAGTCATGTCGTCAGTTACAGGATGGACATAACCTGTTTCCTTCTGCAATGTTTGGCTGCTTGTCTTCTTTCAGTCAATTTTTATTAGACACATTAACACAGTATCACATTGCAATATATCACTTTACAGTTATTGTTTTGGCATGCACTGGAAATGGGAAATGCAGACAGACAGTAAAGTTTTCCTAACCAGAGGCATAGCAAAGCATCTCCATGTCCAAGGCAGCTGTGCAGCACTGAGGGCAGTGCCAGCTACTGCCATACCAGTTGTGGTAGTGTGATCAGCTGCTGCTATGGCAACAGATGCTTTTGCAGACCCAGGGCTGCTGCTCTACTTGCTCCACCTCAATTCCTACCTAGCTGATTTACTGACATAATAGATGATTGACATTTTAAGTTGCAGTGCATGACAGTTTTTGGGAATTGCCTGCACAAAGTGAGATCAAATGGCAGGTCATTCTTCACGGCAACTCTCATAGATGTGACGTTTAGACATAGCAATGTATGGCACTTACTGCAGCCACTCTAGGGATAAGCTTCTTGTCATAATCCAGAATGAGTTACAGTATAGTGAAACAAAACAGAATGACACGTGTTGCATGCTACTTATGCTCAATTAGGCAAGATACCGTTGCTCTAGAAATATTAACATGTCAAATTTCATGATAATAGGTTCTTGATAAACATTCATAAATAATGTTTAAATTAATCCACATATTCTAACTCCATAATGCCTTGGACTTGTAATTAATACATTTGTAATATCAAATTGAATGTTATATATTACATCCAAATAGTAATGATTGGCTTGGTATTACTAACCAAACTGTTGCAGATACGGTTCACTATGAAAAGTTGGTTGAATTTTCATTTAAAATTTCTGGTAGTTCTGCCATGTAAATTCCATATTCATGAAAACATTTTGAATGTATTACATTTAACATTTTTTCTAGGACAGGAGAAGTTTTAGGAGGAAAAACCTTATAAATCTGCATAATTCAGTAGGTGTGTTCCCTTCTCCTGTAATGCAAGTGTGATTACCTAAATTGAGAGCAGAAATTTAACTTATGGTTTGAGTTTCAGTAAGTTCTGTATCTATAAAAAAGGGTTCAATTTCATTAATCTTTTTTTATCAAGTAGGGAATCATGTATTTTTGAAAATCCTAATTCCTATCATTGCAGGTTTTCTTAACTTATCCGAAAGACCAACTCTAGGAGTATTCAAATCGTTTTAGATTTTTTAATATTTACAATAATGCAGTTTTAAGCTTCTTCTCAAAACTCAGTACTTGTTACTTTTTAAATAGATTGAGGTGTCAAAATGATTATTTAGCTTGAATCAAAACTTCGTTAGTTTAATAAATTGGGTTTCTCTCTGAAGAGAAAAGCACTGTTATTACTGTATTGGAATAAATATTCCCAATAGTGGTTGAATGACATGTGCACAGTTTTCAAATGTCTAACCACTTCAATGGCCTGAATTTGCTCTGTTCATATCACTAGAATTCTTTCCTTGACTTGATTGGGAGCAGGGTATGACTTAGCAGTTGTAGAACTTGTTCTAGAAGTCAGTGACTTCAATCCTGTGGGTGGTGCAGAAATTCAGAGAGCTCAATTCCAGGCAATATGAGGTAATGTACTACTTGAGAAAACCAGGCATGGTGGCTTATGCCCCAGAGTTGGGAGTAGGTATGAAGCCAGGGCCCAACTGAATTGGGGGTGGAGGGGGAAGGAAGAAATAAGAATTCAAGTGCAGTAAGAGGTTTAAAATGAAAGAACTAAAGTAGGAGCCCAAGGAATTCGAGGAATTGATAAATGCAGCCCAGAGGAGGTCTGCTTGGAAACCATGATGAAGGAATGGAAATTCAGCTAGAGGGCTGCTTAATGAGTTTTGGTGAGCTGTTGACGGATGCAAGGATAGCTCCGCCCCTTTACAGGTGCCCCACGCCCTGGTTGCCATTTTGGACTGGAAGTCCCACACATACCCCTGACCTTTGCTACAAGAAGTCCTTCCCCTTGTTCCAGAAGTACTCCTTTGGAGGGGGGGGCATTGCCAGCTTGGAACCAGAAAAAAAAATCATGTACTAAAAATCAAAGATCTTCTGTAACATATAATGTTATATCAAAAATATTTTTGTCCTGACTTTTATGTGCATTTGCATAGTGTATATAGAGGTAATTGCATACTAGTTCAAAATAAAGTCTTTATTCATGTATATTGTGCATGGTGCGGTAGGGAAGTGTGGTTGGGAGGTGGGTGTAGGGGCAGTGTGGGATGTGTGTGAGAGATGTGGGTATTGTGGGGGCCAATGTGCATGGATGTGTGTGTGTGTGTGTGTGTGTGTGTGTGGATATGGTGGTGGGGTGTGTGGTTGGTGTGTTGGGGAATGTGGAGGTGTGTGTGGGTATGGTAGATGAATGGGTGTGCACATGTGGCGGCTCCCCCCGGACCTTCCTTCTTGACTTGGCTGAGCCCAGCCCCTCCACAGAGGGTTGGAAACAGCATTGCCTGTCTGGCTCTCAGCACACTGCAAAGGGGCAGGAAAGCTGCTGCTGCCAGCAAGCAACAAGGGGGAAGCCTGACTAGTCCCTAGGAGAGGGGAGGGGAGGAGCTGAGCCACCCGCTCCCTTGGCCTGTGTCCTATGTCTGCCTGGTGGGGCTGCACCAGTCATGACACCAGTCATGTGTGCTCTGGTACCTGCTACTGCTGCTCCTGCCCTACTTGCCTGTTTCATGCTGCTATGTGCCAGCCCCACCCCACCTGAGCCATTCCCTGGTGGCTGCAGCAGCTGCCCCACTCAGAAGTTGTACATACTACCCAGGGCCTGGAATGAGGCCAGGTCCTCTGGCGGGGGAGGGTGGGAATGCAGCACATGCTGCCCCTGGTAGGAGTGGCCAGGGCTCAGCCCCATGAGGAGCACAGCAGGAGCAGCTGCGCATCAGGCCGGGTACAATTAACTGGTGAGCACCCGCCTGCAGGCTTGATCCAATTAGCTGGTACACCAGATCCAGCCCACAGGCCACATTTTGCCCACCCCTGCTGTAGAGTCAGTAGGCTTGCTGCATACTGATATTGACATTCCTTTTTCTGGTTTGGGAAAAAGCCATGATAGCCAGCACCAGGAGATTAATGAGATCTGGCAACTTTTGGTGCCTCATTTTGACACACAAATGAACAGATTATAGGAGAAGAATGTAGGTTGTGGAGGAGGTGGAATAGGGGTTGTAGCTTGGTAAATACTCCAAACTAGTGAAAGGTTCTACCTCTCGCTGCAAAGGTGGAGGCAGGGTGTTGAGATTCTGTGAATTCCAACACACTTGTGCTCATGACTCCGTGGAGGAGCCACTACCATGACAGAGAACCAGAAGATGCTCCTCATCTGTTATAATCAAAAGACTTGCTTATATCCTTAGGTGCGTCAAAAGTATAAATGTGGCAGTTGGATCCCGTCCCCCTCCACAACTGAGAAGAGGCATGGGGTGAGAAGCAGAGCATCAGCCATGGGCACCAAATATTGTGAGGGGGACCAGAATTGCTCCCCTGGGAGTCTAGCACAACCACAGGAGCTGGGCAGGTGCAGCTGCACCCTCAACAGTATTTATGGGGGCTGAGGAGCAAGTGTACCTGAGCAAAATGGTGCTCTATCCTCCCCTCAGCTTCGCTGCCTCAGTGCCACAATAGATGCAATCCTGCACCCAATAGCATGGGGAGGTGGAGGGAGGAATAAATAGGTACCAGGGGCAGCACAGGACTGTTGCTGCCCACCCAGTACTGCTACCGCAGTGCCAGCAATATCGGCTGTCTTTGCTGTATGGAAAGCAGTGGGAGGTAAGACTTCACTTTCCCTCCCCTCCCTTTCACTTCCCTTCATCTCCTTTTCTGGTTCTGTCCTACCCTGCCTCACCCTACCCTTGGCACTCAAGGAGCTTGCTAGCTCTGATCCTGTTAAATGCTTTTCAACTGATAAATATTGGTAAAACTGCTTGAAGGAGTAGCACCTGTAAGTGACATTTTCTACTTATAGACATTTTTCTTTAAAATATAAAGTAGGTAGAGTCCAAATGAGAGATTAGAGGACTGAGGCACATACAGCCCCAAGTCTAAAATTCTTCCTAACCTATAGGATATGAATTGTCTTTTCCATGGCTTCAGTATTCCCAGTGGGACTATCGACACCAAGTTTTCCAGGATCAAACAGCAAGTTGTATAGTGTAATGGATGGAGAAACCAGGGGGCACTTTTACATGTGCTCTAGGGTTGGGGCAGCTCCAAGAGCTGCTCTAATTAAAGTGCTGCAGCATCCCAACGAACTTGAGTTCAAGTACCCTCACTGCCATTTTCAAATGTGGGGATACATGAGATGCAGGAGGATGTAGGAACATGGTCATTGTCACACTCCAACATGCTGGAGCAGCCTCCCTGTTCGTGTACAGGCACCCAAGTTATCTGGCTAGTTAGGTGCCTCAGAATGGGATTCAGGACAGCCAGCAGACTGAGCAGGGAGATGACTAAACTAGCCACCAGGAAATACTGATGAGTGAGTTGTCACAAATGTTGCTCCCTCTTTGGGGCTTAGGCACTTAACTGTGGGATAGAGGGAGGTGCCTATCTCAGATTGGGATTCACACCAGGAATCCCGCTCCTAGGCTTAGAAATCTGAATTTTTCCTTTCAAAAGGAAATACAGATTAGTCTTCTCCTTTATAGCATGGGAGATGGTTGTAACTGATAGTCTAGTGGCAAGGGTACCTACCCAGGAATTGGAAAACTTGTTAGATTCCCTTCTCAGCCAGGGCAGTTTTGAAGCCTCATTTACCACCTTCCAAGCAAATATTTTAACCAATAGGCTGCAGACTTGTTCTGAGATGGAGAAACTTTCCATCCCTCCTGTGGGAGCTGTGCTATCATACAGAAGGACTTCTAAGATTGCTTGGGCCAGAGAAAGGAAGTAAGGAAGAGTGATTTAACTCTGTGATTAGTACATACAGGGCGTGTCTATATGAGACATTAACTTTGCAGTTGCCTAATTAACTGTGTATTAAACGTCTCGGTGTCTACACATGTGCCCCTATTAGGGCGCACAAAACCAATAATCTCTGCAGCAGGGTAAGACTTGTATTAACAAGTCCAACCCTGGTCTAGTTTTTTCATGTGCAGCAGCACATGTGTAGACACTGACCCGGCTGGCTGGGGCATGAGGGTGCTTCAGTGTGGGGGGCTCCCTGGGAACTGACCCTACACTGAAACACCCTCGTGCCCCAGCCAAACCCTCCACAGCACACTGAGCCTGGTGGGAGCAGCCCGGAGCTGGTAGGCTAACCCCCAGCCCCCTGCCAGCTGGAGCTGCTGTGATCCAGCTCAATGTGTTGTGGTCTGGGTGCACATGCAGATGTGCACCCAGCAGTAATAAGCTCCAGTGTTTATCACTGCATGTTAATAGGCATGTGTAGATGTCCCCTCATTTGTTCTGTTCCCTGCTCCCATGATTACTGTTGCATTTTGACTGTTTAATGTGGAAATTAGGGATGGGAAGTCTGGGGTTCACTCTTCTAGGTAGCCACTGTGTTTTGAGCAGGACTCATTGCTGTTGGTATATGTTAGGTGTGTTTTGAGCATGCTTACTCAAATTAGGCCCCTCCTTGGAGGTGGTATTCTTCTGCCTATGCTCGTTAGGAATCATGAGATGCAAGACAAAGTAGTAGTAGTACTGGCTACTTACAGAAATAGAACTTTGGCAGTCAGGTAAAATGAAAGAACTTCCAGACTACAGGCACTTAAGTAGTTAGTCACTGATGTGGGGCATCTTGGACTTAAATACCTAATTTTCACCCATGTTCTTTTGTGGATATGGACCAAAGTTTTATTCTTAAGTACTCAAATGAGAAATTGCTTATTTTTCATACCTTATTTCAAAGGTGGAACATCTTTCAGAATATTTGCTGTATCATTAATGGGTGTAGCCCAAGCCTTGATGTGGGAGTTAAATATACGACTCCCTGACCCAGAGGCATAAATGCTACTTATTGAGCAACATGTATCTTAATAGTTCCTATGGCTTGCTTTATCTGGGAACTCTGTGTGATCTGGGAATTGTCTGGGGTTTTTTTCTCTTCTCCCTGTTAGGACAGAACTTAGTTTTTGCCTCTGTATAAGCTGATGCATCTGCATATCCTAAAATGTGCAGAGTACATGAGACAGGTGTTCACTATGTAATAAAGAAAGCATGCAGTTTGGTAGCAATAATAAGTGATGTTATCCTTGTAGGAAATCACAATGTCTGCAGTGCAGAATTACAGCACTTTTTAGCTCTTGTCATGCTTTCTTGCTTCAGATCCTCCCCCTTAAACTAGAACGCTTACTTCATTATTCAGGGTATGACTGATGCTTCATCCAGCCTTAGTTGGCTGGGTACAGATTATCAAGCAGTGTCAAGAGCAGTATTATGCACACTTTCTGCGTCTTTCTCTCCCTGCAGGGC